CCGCGAGCACGCGCCCGTCGACTCGCGCCGCCGGACGACGAAGTGACGATTCCTGCGGCGGAAGCAACGATATCTGGACGTGCTCACCGCCCGCGGCGACATGCATTTGCCGCGCCGTGCCCGTGAGCACGCCGGGCGCGGGCGGTGGCGTCGTCGTCGTCGGTGGCGTCGTCGTCGTCGGTGGCGTCGTCGTCGGTGGCGTCGGCGCGGGCGCCGGCGCCGGCGCGGGCGCGTCCACCGCGACCGACACCACCGTCACCGCGCTCACCGCGAGCCCTTCCGCCATGAGCGCATCCTTAAACGCCGTCGCCGTCGTCCCCTCCAACGTCGTCTTCACGCTCGCTCGCGCCGTCGCGTCGCGCGTCGCGACGGAGAACGCCACGTCCACCCTGGAATTACTCGCCAGCAATCGTCGCGCCGCTCGTCGTCGCGCCACGTCCGTCACGCTCGTCACCGTCACATCCGATGCCTCCACCATCGTCGACAGCGCCGCGACGCCGCGTCGGAACCTCGGCGCCGCGTTCGCGTCCGCGTTCCACTCGCTCGCGCTCATCCCCGTGAGGCGCGTGTTCCCGTACACGAACGTCTTCCCATCGTCGTCATCGCGCAGGCCGACGCCCAGGCCGACGCCGAGGGCGATCGCGATCGCGATCACGGTCGCGATCGAGATCACGACGCATCGTCGCGCCATCGTCGCCGTCGCGAGGGGCGCGGCGCGGTGTCGCGATCGCGATCGGGTGCCCGAGCGTCGAGATCACCAATGGGTGGTCCCCCTTCATACTGTGTACCCATACATGGCGTGACGGGTCATGATAGAATTTTCACTTCTTCAGCCTGACTCGTTCCGTGTTGGTTTGGTTGTGCACACCTTTTGTTGAGTCATAATCGGCCACGTCATGTATGGGTAAACAGTATGGTGGGGTTACTCCCATTGGTGTTTTACCTTGCACACATTTCGGCAAGTTTTCGCAACACGCGACACGTGTACGCGGATAACGCGCCGACGAGGCAGCGAGTCTGCGCTCGCGCTCGCGCTCGCGCCTTCGTCGCGCGCGGGTCCAGAAAATCAGCTCCATAACGCATCGCGACTCGTCGCGTCAACGAGGGGTCTTCGACGGGTCGTGACTCGCGTTTCTCTCGCGTACCCCCTCACCGGGGTTTTAGAGCCCCCAAAAGAGGTCGATTCACGACTCGTCGTGTGCGCCGTGTCAAAATCCATATACCGCGGGAGGGTCACCGACCCTCGAGTTACACTCTTCGGGTATGGTGACAATACTAACAGTTAGTATTAAGCCTTCGCGCTTGTGATTCCAACTACGCGGTTTAACAGCAGTAGCCTCCGGCGCGCTCCCGGCGACAACATTCGCGACGTTGGCGAGCACAGGGCGTGTTGTGGTGTCACCACCATCGAGAACGACGTCGCGGGCACCAGCGTTCTCACTATCCATGGCGCATAAAATAATGACAGATGTTGTTATTGATACAGCCGTATCGCGTACGGCACTCAGGTCCGCTCGGCGCGCGCGCGAGGAGTGACGCAACGCGCGTCGGCGGGGGCGCCAAGTAACCGCCATCGGGCTCGACATTTTCACCCCAAAAAACACCCGAAAGTGATCTAATTAGGTGGTGTCTCCGACGGAACCTTCCCGGAGATGAGTCAAAAGCCGAGATTCGCAGATTCGGAACTCGATCAGGAGTCGGGACCGGCGGATTGAGAGTGTCCAACCGACCACCTCTCCCCGCGGCAATTATTCCTCACGGTTATTCATCGAGCGCGCGCGGACGCCGACGGCGAAGACGACGGATCGCGCCGCGCGCGATCGGAGACGCGCGCGATCGAGACTCTTCGCTCTCGCCCACCCCATCGGCGCGCGTCTCCCGCCACCGTTGGGTTCTCGCGCGCGTTCTTTTTCGAAAGACGACGGCTGCGTGTCAAACTCGTTTCGACGAACGAACGAGCGCGATGACGGACGCGCGGTCGTCGCGGCGTTCGCCGGTTCGGGCGGTGTTCGCGCTCGCGCTGGTCGTCGGCGCGGCGCGCGCGGCGTTCGCGCAAACGTGCTCGGCGACGTTCCGTCCTCAATGGATGGACGTCGATGAAGACGGCGAATTGGCACGTCTTCAAGTCACCTACCTCGAAGTCAACTCGGCGAGCGCTGATTTGTACGTGAAAGCCAAGGATAGCTCTGCGTGCGCCAATGGGTACGTCGAGCCCGAAGAGTTTTACGTGTACGCCTGTCAAGGTGGCGACCAAGGTGGCAACACCGGAGGCGTCGACGACAAAGGCAACGACGGAGGTGATAGTACTGACTTCGACTCAAACTCTGAAACTTCGACGCGTCGTCGCCTTCTCTGGAAATCAAAGACGCGTCTGTCTTCTCACCGACGCACCTTGCTTCAAGAAGAAGAGGCGTCGTGTGACGGACTCGACGAGTTCCTCGTGGATCCAAACAACGCCCAAGGTTTCTATTACCTGTCATATTTTGGGGAATACGCTCGTTACACGCTCAACGTGTGCTGTCCCGCCGATAAGCCAAACTTTTACCTCGCCGTGGCCGGGTATGACATCACGGGCCAAGAGGAAGGACGATGCACGTCGGCGGTGATGAGCGATTCTTACCCGTACTCGCTGACTGGATCCACCGAAGATGCCGTCGCTCCCGAGGAACCGCCAGAAAAGCTCGTCTCTCTCAAGGAATTTTGGCAGACGCACGAAGGTTCCGCCGCTGAAAAACTCATCATGAACGCCGGATTGGGTCTTCAGTTTGGTGCGTGTCCGAAAGCTGATGAAGTGTCCCCGGATGCCTTATTTCCTCTTCCCCCGTTCAAAGCGGATGTCATTTCGACGTTTTTCACCCATCTCTTCAAACAACCGGTGCCAGGCAGAGAACATGACATCAAATCTGAGTTGAAGCTGTCGCCTTTCGCCACCGCGAGCGCGGCAAACGTAAACGGCACGTGCCGACTCATGGTGACGTTGGCGGATCATCCAAATCTCAAGCCCATGGAACTCGTCGAGGTCGATGGCGTCGATTTCGGATGTCTCAAATCAGCCTATGAAGATGTTCCGGACGCGTACGTCGCCCTCGACGCGTTGACGGCGTTGGCGCAAACGTCAAAGGCGCATCCGTCTTTCGGCGACGCATTCAACGTGACGCTTCGCGATCCGGCGGATGAATCCAACTCGACGCACGCCGTGCGGGCGTCGTACGGCGCGTACAAGGCGCTCAAGGTTCGTTTGGACAAGAAGAACGACGAAAGCGTGAAAGATTATCGCGTGACTTCGTCAAGCTGTGGCGGCATGAATAACCCTCGTGAGGACGGTGCAAAAGTGATACCCGCCAAGACGTGTCCGCGCGTCAGCGTCAATCGCGAGATCAACGTCTTCAAAGACGTCGCGCTCGACTCCATGGTGACGACCAAGCTCGGTACCGCTGTTTTTGGCGGCGCGACGAACATCAAGACGGGACGCGAGTCTGAAAATTTTGGTTCTTCCGATGGTATCGCTTTTGACACCGACACGGCGTGTACCGTCACGATCACCGGTCTGTACGACGCGGACGGCAACGCCGCGTGCGCGGAGACCGTGACGGTTGAACGCGCCACGTCCCGATGTTCGTTCGAGCCCGTCCAGGATGCCGTCGCTGGAATGAATGAGATGTTAAGTCGTGCGTCCAAAGGCGTGAGTGCCATCTCATGGGACGATTTCATTCGATACACGGGTCGCGACGCTTTTGTCGATTGCATGGAACTCGTGTCTCTGTCCATGACGGATGCGTACGAAAACGTCACTCTGGTTACGGATGAGTGCACCTTGCCGTACCCAGAAACGTCCTCTGGCTCTGGCATCTGGAGCTTCTGCGAGAGCAATCCGGTTCACGAGTACTGCGCAGATCCGTGCTGCAACATCTTCATCCAAGATAAGCTGTGCTGCGCTCCGAAGAGCGCCACCGTGTCGAGATTCCGTCCCACGTTCGACAGCAACATCTTCACGGAGACGTGCATGCTTGCGGACGCCGTCACGCGCGGCTCGGTGGATGAAACGTTACCGGTCGCGAACGCCATTCCATTAGCCATCAAAGTTGCGTCGAAGATCTCCACGCCGGAGACGTGCCTCGCGGCGACGTCGAGTCTGAAGACAAAGCTCGACAACATCGAGACTGATCTCGAGTGTTGTGTGAAGGCTGTCATCGGAGAATGGGACCACAGTACCATGAAGTACGCGTCCACGCAGCCGTGTCAGGTGTCTTCCGACTGCTTCTCGGACGTGTGCGCCGCTTCTTCGTCTTCTTCTTCGTCATCAAACTCTCAAGGGTCGTCGGGAAGCGGCTCGTCGTCGGACAGTTGCTGGAGCAGCTCTTCCGGGAACAACAAGTGCGCCGTCGCGAATTCGACGTACGTCGGCGAAGCGTTGGCGAAATGTCTCACGACGAAACTTCGAGCTCGTGATTACCTTCGCGAAATTGCCATCTTAAAATCTATCATCGGTGTCAAAGCGATGGCGACGGACGCCGACATCGGCGCCGCCATCATCGACGGCGCGGGGTACTACACGTGCGAGGGTTCCGACGGGTACAAGTACGATCCGTTCAACGACTGTCCGGAGTGGGAATACGACTCAGAATCCGGGACGCACGAGTGTAAACGATACTGCGAAGGCGTGGAAGATTGCAAAGACAAGTGTTTGAGCTCAAAGACGTGCAACTGGAAACCTTGGGAATACTCTGACGGCACGTGGGGTCCGACGAGCGACGAAAACTGTCTCGACGAGGATTTGGGCGACAACTTCTGCGCCTCCACGAACGAATGGGGCGGCGTCGAAGATATCACCGAACTGGGCTACTGTTCGCCGACGACTGGTATCGTCGAAGAATACGGTGGAGGCTGGTATTCCAATGAAGCGTCGTCCATCACGGATGAGCTGTGTCAAGAGCTCAACTCGACGCTCACGGCGAAAAAGGCTCACGAGTGGTCAGATATCAAGCGGTGCCAATTCCCTTCCGCGATGAGCCAGTCGAGCGCGGCGTGCTTTGATGGATGCGCCAGCGACGAAGGGTTCAAACCGCCGACGCTGTACGAGTGTTATGTCCCGACAAACTCGCAAGGCGCGTGCCCGTCCTCGGAGTACTTCACCGAACGACGCGTGGACTGGGACGCGGACATTCCGTGGGAGCTTTCGCGCCCGTCTTACTGCGTGACCAACATCTGGGGTAACGGCGGACTCTATCAGCGGTACGGGTACCCCGACGACTGGGCATCGGACGAAACCAAGGCGAATTGGACCATCACCCTCACGTCCGGCGATCTCAAGGGATCGTATAAAATGTGGAAGAGCGAATGGACCGATATCCTCGGACACAAAGACTGGAGCCGCGGTTTCGTCTTCGCCGCAAACGCCACGGCGCAAGACGTCTGCACGGAGCTGGGCGCCAAGGTTCGTCTCTTGGACGACGGCACGCAAGAGTGCAGAGATTCCGTGTGTTGGTATCCAGACGTGACGACGGAGACGGAGTGCGTCAATCGCGACATCTCGAACACAGACGCAGAACACAGATGGCGCCAAACGTTCAGAGACGGCGCGGGCGCGTGTTTCTCCACGCCTGCACCTACGCTCACGCCGGCGTACTACAACATCACCTTTTCACCAAAGTTGAATGCCGATGATTACTCGAGCGTCACGTGGCCAAATCAAGCGTCTGCGGACTTACACGTCGTGTATTGCGATAAAGGCACTGCTTGTGAGAAGGGTTACGCCAACTTTTGGTCTTCGAGTGACGTACCGACGACCGGAAGTACCTTCACAATCAGCGATACGACGTACACGATTTTAGACGTGACCGCGACGCCGCAACCGAAATACGAACACTTTGATGCATCCGGAAAGTTGACCATGGCGTGGTGCTACGAAAACGGATACTCATGTTACAACGGTAACAGGGAGTGGAATGGTTTCGACTACACGAATTACTCGACGTACTCCAAACCTGGTGTTTTGAACGTCAAGTCGTCGTGCGAGGCGAACGGAGGCGTCTTTTATCTCGGAAAACATCTGAGAGAAGGTAAGTTTGATTCCGTGAGCAAGTGCTCGGGCGCGTACTGTAACGTCGCGGGTCCTCGGTACTCTGTCTCGGAGGAGATGTGCTCGAGCATCGGCGGTCAATGCAGAAACTCTCAAGGGTGCAACGGGTGTCGAGCGCCGTATTGGGGCGAAGTCGACATCGTCTTGGACGGCATGTGCTACACCCCCAACGTTCCGTCGGCTTCAAACTGCACCTCGGGCGCCGAATACGACGAGACGTTGCGCGCGTGCGTGAAAACGAGCATCACAAATAAGGATGAGTGCACGGGCAACGACAAGTGGGTGACGTGCGAAGACGTTCCTTTCGACAACTGCACCGCCTCCGCGACGTCGTCCGAGGAAAGCGCTTCGATCGCGAACAAGGCGGCCAAGTATTTGAGCTGCCGACGAGACAAGGCACCGAAACACTGCTCGGGAGCTGACCAATGCGCCTCTGAGGGCGGTTCGTGTTGGGGACCCGACATCCGCGATCAGGTGTGCTTTTACGACAGCGATGCATGGAAGTGCGAATACCGCGCCAACGTGTGCGTCACCAATCTCAACCAAGAGACGTGGTCGTGTCCGGGCGCGACGAGTACAGACGGCTACTCGAGCTGGGACGAACGACGGTATCAAGTCAACGACAAGTATTGCCTCGATTACTATGCCGCAAACGAAACGGCGTGCGACGATCTCGGCGGCGCGTGGACGTCCACGAGCGCCGAGTCTCGCGAACAATTTTGCACCGCCAGCAAACGGTGTGAAGGCGGAAGCAGCGAGTGGGGCGTGTACAGACGTCAGGAGGATGCGTGTCTCAAGTGCGGCGGTGAGATGGTGTCCGACGGCACGTGGGTCGCTGGATCGTGGTTTGAACCCGCCATGGTTCGCGGTGGACGCTCCTGGAAGGCGCGCGCGATGGAGGTGACGAACACGTGGTCTCTTCGCGTCGATGAGTGGCGCGTCCGCGACTTTGTCGAGCAAGTCCGCGATACGCTCGACGAAGAGGCGCAGACGACATTCTTACGATGCATGTACGCCGAAATAGGCGATTCCATCGAGAAGATGTCGAGCACGTGCGGCGGTGCACCAGCGGATATTCGCACCACGATCGCCGACGCCCCGTTCCCGGCGGCTGAGAAAACCGTGTTTCCGGGCGCGCCGGCGACTGTCGGAATCAAATCCGACTCCAACGTTGCGGTTACTGGGTCTACGTTTAATGATACCGTGACCATCACGACGGAGGTCGTCACCACGAAACCCCTGAACGACGAGAATGCAAACGCCGTCGCCAAGCGACTCGGCGAGCGTCGTCTCGCTGAGGGCGCCGTTAATCTGAACGCCGCCGGTTGCTGGAGTGTCGTGAAGAACTCGAACGACAAGCTCGTCGGCCAACTTCTCGGCGACTGTCTCGCCGTCAAAGTCGAAGGCGCGGGTGCATCGTCGGGCACGAGCGGCGTCGAGGTGTGTCTCGTCGTGAAATCTGAACGCGAAGTCGCCGACGCGTACACAGAGTTTGGTTTCGCGAAACGCACGGGTTCTACGGGATCGTTCAGTTACACGCCCACGTCGTACGAGGTCAAGAGCACCGGCACGCACTTGTGCGCCACGGTGAAGGAATACGGTGCGTACGTGTGTCCTGTCAAGTTGGCTCCGTCGTGGGCGTCGTCGACCGTGGACGTCGGTTCAAGCGAGTGCGCGGCCACGCAAGCCATCGCGCAAGTCGCTGCGGCCAAGGTTGAACAAGTAAAGACGGCGGCGGCGGCTGAAATCGCCGCCCTTCCCCCGTGCGACGCCTCGAAAGCGCCGACGTACGGCGCCGTCGGCGATTGTACGTCTACGCTCGCGTCCGGAACGCAGTGTCAACCCGTCTGCGACACCGGGTACGCCGTCTCCGGTCCTTCCAAGTGTAACGCTGCAAAACTCACCGCGGCGACGTGCGCGCCGCTCTCGTGCGACGCCTCCAAAGCGCCCATGAACGGTGCGGTCGGGACGTGTACGAACGCGCTCGCGCACGGCGCTACGTGTAAACCGACGTGCGCCGTCGGATACACGGTGTCCGGAAAATCGACGTGTACGCTCGGCGTTCTTGACGCGGCGACGTGCGTCCAAGATTCCAAGCTCGACACGTCCGTCACTTTCAGCGGAATCTCAGTCAACATCACGGATGAAATCGAGGTGAAATTGTTGGAGGTGGTGAAGACGGCGGTGCGCAACAACGGCAACTTTCCCGTCGGTGTCAGTTTCTCTCAACTCGCCTACGTCGTCTCGGGTTCGATGTCGTTTACTACTGTCTCTACGCTTACAGACAGCGTTTTCAAGACGGCCGCCGCGAGTGCGCTGAACGTGGATGTGAGCGCCATCACGAACGTGAACATCCCCCAACCGGTTCGTCGACGACTCCTCGCCTCGTCTGTGACGTACGACGTCTCGTCGACGACTCGCTCGGCGGCGAACGCGCTTCGCTTGACGGCGAGCGCAGCAACATTTGCAGTTGGCGGTGTCACCGGGACGTCGTCGCCCGCGACCGCGAGCGTCAAGGTGGACGCGACGATTTTCGTCCCCGCCTCATCGGCGACGACGGCGATGGCGACGCTCAACAACGCAGCCGCGTTCTCATCGAGCGCCGCAACTGCGGCGTCAACGGCGACTGGAATTACCGGTATCACCGCTCCCGCCGGCGCCATCAGCGTCGCCGCGGCGTCGTGCGACGCGTCGACTGCGCCCGAAAACGGTGGCGTCGGTACGTGTACGTCAACGCTCGCGACTGGATCGCAGTGTCAACCGGTGTGCAACACTGGATACACCGTCTCCGGTCCAGCTTCGTGCTCGAGCGGTTCTCTGACCCCGGCGACGTGCGCCGCCAATCCGTGCGACGCGTCCGCCGTGCCCGCCAACGGCGCCGGTATGGGTAACTGCACCGCCACGCTTGCGAGCGGTATGTTGTGCGCGCCCCAATGTAACTCGGGATACGTCGTGAACGGCCTCACGTCGTGTTCGGCTGGGGAGGTCACGAGCACGGCGACGTGCGTCTCGTCGCCCACTGGCACGCCGCCGACGACCGGCACGCCGCCGACGACCGGCACGCCGCCGACGACCGGCACGCCGCCGACGACCGGCACGCCGCCGGCGACCGGCACGCCGCCGCCGACCGGCCCGCCGCCGACGACCGGCACGCCGCCGCCGTCGAGCGCGAGAGCCTCATCTATGGTGAGCGCGCTTCTCATCGCGCTCCTCGGACTTTTCGCCCTCGTCGCGTAACAGAAGCATCGATGTCCTTTCCAAGAACTCAAGGCATTCAAGACTTTCCAAGAACTCAAGGCATTCAAGACAGTATCGGTAATAAAAAGTCATGTGAATAACAAACACACATCTGTACACGTATCACACCTCGAGGACTGTCTTTCCGCGCGTTCGCGCGCGACGCGCGGACGGTCGCGGAGACGGGGGCGGGTGACGACGCCGCCCAGGGATGGAGAGAAAATCCCCCGCTCGCGATCGTTCCGACGCCACCGCGCGCGATGTGCCGAGCGTGTCGCGCGCGCGGTCGCGCGCGCGCGTCGACGTCGTCCCCCGTCACCGTCGTCGACGCCGCCGTGGACGTCGCGTGCGCGCCGTGTGACGACGACGACGCTTCGGCGACGCCTCGATCGATGCGCTCGAATTACGACGTCGTCGTCGTCGGCGCCGGTGCCGCGGGCGCGTCGTTCGCGCGGACGTGGAGCGACGAGTCCGCGACGCGCGGACGGTCGTGCGTCGTCGTCGCGCGCGACGGCGCGGCGACGATGGCGCGGGCGCGGGAGATTGGGAGGCGAACGACGCGATGGGACGCCGAGACGACGGCGCTCGGCGACGCGTTCGCGTCCACCATCGACGTCGTTCGCGGCGACGTCGTCGACGCGGACGCGGTGGCGAAGACGGTGATGATTCGTACCGCGCTCGGGGCGACGCGCGCGGTGGGGTACGGGACGTTGGTGATCGCGAGCGGCGGGGTTCCGAGGTCGCCGACGCCGGCGGGCGCGGCGACGGGCGCGGTGGACGTGCGGTTCGTGCGAGACGTCGAGAGCGTCGATGCCGTCGCCCGGGCGCTGGGTGACGCGGCGAGAGGGGCGAAGCGCGTTGGCCGTGGTCCGGGAACCGGTGGCGTCGCGCCTCGAACTCGTGGACGCGTTGTCGGGCGCGCTTGAGACCGGGCGAAGGAGT